CGGAACCGATCTATTCAGTCTGCATAGGTCCAGAACTGGACGCCCACCATTTGAGTAGAAGCCTGGACCTAATGCCGGCTGATCTACCTTGTGTATGGCGCCCTTTTCCAGCAAACTGTCTACTTCCTGTCTGATTGCTTCTGCCTTGCGAGAGTCCCCTGGCAGTGCCCCCATCTGGAAGATGTCCTGCGTAACTGAGGCAGTGATGTACTCCCTGACTCAGTTCACCGGCGAAAACACATGCATCTAAGACCGCATCTTGTTGCACAGTAGTAGTCCTGGCCAGGAGAGCCAGGTGACACAGGAGGATGTCGCACATAGCTGTGCGTTGGCTCATCAGTAAATATGTCGCCTGGTCTAGGAGGCTGGTGCGTTCTGCCTCTGAGGTCTCAGAGTCATGGGTGTGCACAATAATGTGCTCCAGCAACTCTGCCCTAGAGCGTGATGGATCGTCTCAGACTGAGCTGGCGAGAATGCCCATGGAACGCGGCCATCCCCCTTTACCCGGTTTGCCAAACAAAAATTTGTGTTACCGGGGTCTGGGGAAGGAGCCAAGGGATCCAGTTGGGGGTGTCTGGTGTCATCGCACACTTTGGTGTCTGATCCCGGAACCACACCGACCTGGTAGCGTTTGGTCCAGCGTTACCTTCTCTGCGGCTGACCAAGGAAGTCAAAACCCACAGCGGAACCCGGACTCAAGGGTAAAGTCTGGTACTGCGCGACAAACCCATGGCTGGCTGAAAGTAGAGGGGAGGCACAACTTGTGCCCTGACCAAAAGCCCTGCCCCGAAATTGGAGGCTTGGCGGCCAGCATCCCCATTGTCATTCAGTGCCCAAGGTCCCAAAGGAGACCCGGTGCAACGAGCCTGAGCCTCGACCTCACCCAAATCAGTGGGAGAGTCACAGCTGGAAACGGGGGGACCCCATATGAGGAAAGACCTCCAGAGGCACAGCTTCGCTGTTGTCGGTAAAATCGGGTAAACCACCACCTGAAACAACAGACTGTGAGAATGCCCACCAATATCAGCAAGGGGAGATCGAAAAATATCGGTACCTCCATCGTCAGGCCTCCTACTCAAAGTCTCAGTACATGAAGTACCGGTAGCAGAGTGTGAGTTTAACCGATTTTTACTGGACGTGCGACCTTGCTGTGAAAATACGAGCAACGCAGTCAGTCTCAGCAATTTTGCATGGCTCTGGAAAACAACCCAGGCCTCAGAACTCCAGTGAAAACACACGCCTTCAAGGCAAAAACCCTGAACCCTGCACGGCAAAATAGCATTTCGGATGCGGGTTCTGCTGGTAAATTCTGATTATAACTACTGCACAGTCACCTCGAAAAACGAGGAGACAAAACTGGCGGCGAGCCTCTGATGCTGTCATCACATCTATCCATTTCTAAATACATTGGTAAAACATAAAAATTAACACAACATGCATGAGGGAAGCAAAATACAGTTGGAAAAGGTGACGCAAAGAAACCAACGATGTGGTTAAATTGTTTCGCCAGGTTTTATTTTCTTTGTTGTGAAAAATTATACACACAAAGAGGGAAATCGACACAGGGGTAAAAATAACAAGAAAAACTTATCCTACCAGCCACAGTATTGGCGGCTGCAGTAGCAACCCAAGCCAGAAACCCGGACAGGAAAAGGCAGGCTTACCAGGCAGAGCCGCTAGACTTCAATCCCATCGGTGCGGAGATAAAGAAAGAGTGAATATCAGGGTATGATGGCGCCGCCACATTACCTCGGTCACCTGGTTTGTGACATAAGGGAAACAAATTTCGGGGTCATGGGGCTTCCCCTGACCTAGATTTTTCCCCTCCGTCATTGGCAGAATCGTAGATTAATGCCTACAGTTCAAAATAGTCATTTTGACTGACCGGAGGCTATGGTGGTTCACACTCTTAAAAACATATATATTGATTAGTTTATAAAATACATTTTGGTGGGTTCAATAAATAGTCCAGAATATTTTAATTATAAATAGAAAAACTACTGATCTATGTAATAAAAAATTTGCATATTATGCAAAAATTGAATTTTTAATTTTTTACAAATAGCTGTTCATAAAGTGTGCAAATATACAAGAGCCAATTGTCCATGTCTATTTCTTTTTGGATACATTTTCATATTTTGGAGATATTGATTTATCTCCTACATTCTCATAAGGACTACTTTCATTGTCATCCTTATGGAATGGGTTAGCTTGCCTTTTAGTCTCTTTAGTCACATTATCATTTTCTTTTCGAAATGACCGTTTTGGATTCATTGCTGTTGCTTTGCTGAGAGAATCTGGTTGACTGTCTTTGCCAAAATAAGGAGCTGCCCCTGCTGCTTTGCTTAAAGAACTGGGCTTTTTTCCCGAGTCTGTGAACAGTAAATTTTTTACAGAAGCTTTGCTAAGTGAACTTCTTCCAGAGGATGTCTCTTCGTCAGCAAGAAATGCCTTGTTGTCATGGTAACAAACCTTGCGATTAGTAATTGGTGTAACAGATGGAGTACCTCTGGGTGTTTCCCTTGGTGTAATACTGGTATCCATAGCGTATCTAGAATTATGGGAACATCTTTCACGATCAGCTAAGGGATTCTCAAGTGCAGGGAATTTAGAAGCTAATCTTGGACTTCCTTGTGGTGTGTTTGTTTGTAATTTCTTTCCTAAAAGTGGACTTGGTTTTGGACTTGGTGATCCAAGCAATTCTGTTCTATAACTGCCACCTCGACTTCTTAAACTCTGTTTACTATTGACAGGTTCTAAATAGCCTTCTTCATCTTCAGTGGAATTTACTCCTTGTTTTATTCGTGAATAATTTACTGGAGAATCTGAGAGAGAAAAAATATCTGAACCATTAAAACAGAACATCAGATATCCATTCAAGATAGTTGGTACAGACACACACCTCTGTCATTCCTGTAAGTACATGTCTCAGTAATAGAGAAAGTATGGTATGCTATCTAATACTTTTGAAAACAAACAAATTTGCTCCCAGATTGAATAGCCACAAATAACCTCAAGGTACAGTATAGTTCTCGCGAAAGCTTTGGCTTCACTTCAGCATCGCATCATTATGGCATTGTTATGGCTTAATTCAGCATCACATCAATGTTGCGACATTAAAAAGTTAGGCGGTTATCACTTCGCTTCACTGTGGCCTCATTATGGCGACAATGTGGCATCAGCATCGCTTCATCAAACAAAGAAGTACAGTACTCAATTCGCCCAACCTCTCGCCCGCTTCCGCTTTTCAATCGCTCGCTTTTGCGACCGCTTGTTGAATTTCTGCTTTATTTTCGACTGTGCAAAAATTCGGACTACTAAAAATTTTTTGGTTTTCATAGATCACGGTTACTAGTTTAGTAATCTTGCATAAATGTTGAACAACCGTCAAAAGTTCAAATAATTTTTGTTTTAACTATCTATAATTATATGCACGCAATCTGACCCTTTGACTGGGATTGACTGGGATTTTAAAAATATTCTGACGTGACGCACTGCTACAAAATGTATTTCAACAGAAGTACGACATGGTTGTCTGGGTTTCTTTTTCTGACTGTGTTGAGCTTACGATTTGTATAATTATTGTTATTTCCCCCAAGGAGAACACAAGCCGAAGGACCATGAAGTTAAATAAAAGTCCCACGCATGGACTGAGTGAAAGAAAATATTTCTAAGTTTAAAATAAAACCTAATATCTCTTTGTGTATTTGTCAATTTTGCATATATTTGGTATGACAGTATATTCGTAAATATCTGGAAAAATCTCGCCTTTCGTTAATAATTTCATTTGTTTGAAATATCTACCGACCGTGTCCCAATAATTTGTTTGGAACATCGATCCCCGTTGGTTTCTCCAAACGGTCCCGACGTCCGTCATTCAATACAATCAGCATTTATTTATCGTAATTCATGGGAATCATGTCCCGTAATTTGCAGGCTGTAAAACCAAATAATTAAACAAGTACTATTTATTATATATTTTTTTTAACCTTGCGGAAAATTGTCGCGGTGAAATCGATGGAACTTCAATTATCCATTTCTCACCTTGAAATAAAAATAAAAAAAATCGAAGAGCATCGGGGGATATATTATTAACTAGTCTTACCAATCGCTAGCTTTATTTTATTCAAATTCATAAAATTCATGAGTTTTTCGACATTTATTGGCAACTTCCGCGCTAAAAATGATTGAAAATATGGGTGTGGTTCTCTCTCAAAGTCCCGTTGATAATACGGACAAATATGGTTCTGTGACCCAGGTCGTGCTCCGATCAGGTGACTCTCAACCAATCAATGATGTTGTAACAAAGCATATTTGACGCTAATTTAAGGGTCGTTGTACCATCCAATCTCCGGCATCGATTCAGATTTTTTATGCTGTGACAGGCTTCACAATTATTCACTGAAAAACATTGGTATATTTTGACAAACGGCTGGGATTTGACCTCAGTTCAAAAAAAGAAAAAAAAAACTGGGCTGAGATACAAATCCGTTTCGCAAGTTGGGAAATAAGGTAAACCAGATTGGGGTCGATGATATTCAGTATCGAAGGACATCCGTGTGTTTCAAAGTGTTCATCGTCTGGTCACCAAATATTTACGGCTACAACTAAATGGACACGTTTTTTTCACCAGAAAATAACATAGTTGAACTCTGGTGACCTTGCCCTTTGTTATATAATATAATTCATTTATCATAGTTTGAATTCAATATATATATGCATTGTCATAATTAATTTTGAATACAAACAAGTTTTGGGGTTGAACCATTAGTGGGGAATCAGTCTACCGATTGTCCTTAAAAGATGTAAATATCTTACAAAAACATTGGTGCCTTATTTGTTAAATTATTTTAAGGGACATAATTTCCAGCTTTATTCAAAGTAATTCAGATATTTTAGTATAAAAACAAATGCCTCATTGCAGAAAAAAAGTGCTGCATTTAGACGTGAATAGATTCATAAAACATGCAAGATAACAAGTATTTTGTACAGGTGTCTGTCAAAAATTAATGATTCACTGAGACAAATATGAACTGCCTCATTGTGTGACTACTGTATTATATGAAAAGTAAAAAAAAAAACCTCTATGAATAGCTATCATGTTGCAAGCTCTGCTTTGTATGCAAATCAACTTAAATAGTTGGTGTCCAGTGGAGGGAGAAGTCAACAATACTGTTGCCTCCTGAGAATCTACATCTTCAAACACTGCAATCTTTGTTTTTGAAGTGCGTTTTTAAACTAGTATTATAAAAACTCTATCATTCTGTTCTAATAGCTGAAACATATTCCTGTGAGTTTTCATTTGTCGAATGAACTATTTGTCAAATACAGAATACATATATTTTAGTACAATGTTTTGCTTTTTATGTATTTTTTTTTGTATTGTTTTTGATTTGATAACGTTGAACTAAACAGATTTTCTATTAGATTCAGATCTTGATCAAAGTTTGGCCCCCAGTTCATAGGAGCGCTTATATTGATTTTCTGACATCTTGTTTTCGATAGGATTTTATTGGTAGGTTTGCAAATGTGTATCAGACTGTGCAAAAAATCTCTCCATGAGTTGGTTTTGAAACCCAGTATAGTATTCCCATGGGATTTGGGGGATACATTACCAAGGATATTATTACAAGATAAATGATTTGCTTCATTGAACACATACAACAATGCATATTTTCACTGAGATAAGTGACCTTTGATGTGTATCACCAGTGATCAGTCAAGTAGAAACAGTCAAAATATTTTATCAGATTTTCTCAATTTTTGCATGATATTTTCATACAGGACATCTGTTGTTCAAACTCAGGGAAGACTTTATACTGATGAATAAGGTGAGTTTGATGAAGTTTGGAATAGAATTAGTAAAGTTATTGTGCACACAATAACAATTATTAACGACGAAGCCGACGACGACGACAACGACAACAACGCCGGACAAAATTTTTCCCCTAATATACCTTTCCCTTCCATCTTTGATGGTAAAAGGTAAAAGGTAAAAATGAACGAAAATAAGGTAATTTTATAACAAAAACATATAACAAGTTTCATTTCATATACAGCAAATTGTGTTGTATCCAAACGACGATTGCATGGTGTGATTTAAATTTATCACGATTTTCCTTGCAGTCAATATGACACTCGTCACCTTGCAGATTGCAATGTACTTCACAAAGTTTTTAGTACCCAATACTCACAACATTAAACAAGATATCTTTTTAAAATGTCATTTTACTCTTGGTCATATTATTTTATTCCCCTTACCGCCTTGAATTTCAAATCGATTACATATCAAAATTCTGTACATGTGTTTTTCTCTACTGCCTTTCCGTGTGAAAATAATAAGGTCATACTCATGTCACAATACTCAGAAGCTGAGGCCACGATGATGCCACAAAATAAGAGAGGCGAACACAGCTTCAATTTTCAATGACCCGAAGCTGATGCCACAATGATGCGATGTTGAGGCGACAATGAAGCCATGCGTAGGCCACAATGATGCCATGCGTAGGCCACAATGATGCCACAATGATGCGATGTTGAGGCGACAATGAAGCCATGCGTAGGCCACAATGATGCCACAAAAGCCAAAGCTTTCGCAAGAACTGTACTGTAATGCATAATATAAACATTATGAACTGACCATCGAATGCTAGATTATCAAGACCATGTTCTGGTGAAATTGACTTTCTCTTAAAGGCTTCCAGTTTTCCCAATAAGTAACGGAATGTAGGCCTGCAATCAGGGTCATTATGCCAACACTTTAACATCAGTTGATGACTACAAGGAAAAAAAATTGAATAAATCTATGGTAAATACAAACAAGTTGTCAGACAGTTACTGATAATAATATCATGCGGGCATACAAGATTATAACTTGTTCAGCTATAATGTTTCAAAGCAAAATTTGACAGAACAGATATGAATAACATAGGCAACAAAGCGGACTCCTTAGACACCTCAGTAATTGCTTTTGACAGCTCTGTGAGGTTCAAATCTGTGATTTGTTAAACTCATATTATGAGTTATAGTAATTCAAAATAGTGTATTGGATTGAACCAGACTTTTGATGCATATTTACCAATAAAATGGCCATGATTTGGCACTTTCTGATTGGATTGAATAGTCAAGCAGAGTAAACAAAGATGTCATTGTGTAAGTTTGATTGTAATCAGCCTAGATGGATCAACTGATTCATGGACTAATAATCTGTGGTAAGTATAGTAATTAGAAGTCATATTTACACATCATCTGGACAGTTATCTGGTCTATCTAGTCTCCCACCACTTGTTACAAAATGGCATACTTCTAGATTGGTCCGTGCTGGATATGGCTGCTGCCCTAAAGTCATGACTTCCCATAACAGTACACCAAATGCCCTATTTACACAAACATGTAAAATTCAATGAACTTAATTAGGTATGTAGTGTAGAAGATA